ACCTCTAGGCCGGCTCTCCGGCGTGGATGCGAAGGTACCGGTGAGGCTGGTTCTGTTCCCAGGACACCTCGCGGAGCTTCTGGGGACCCCGGGTCCCGCGTGGCCGCGGGCGCTGCCCCGAGCACCCGTCCCGGGGGGCAGGGAAGAGCCGCCGTCAGCATCCTCCGGGAGGCGAAAGGTGGAGCCCGGCCCGTTCCCGCAGAGCGTCCGTTCCTGCTTCCCCCGGGCTGGCCCCGTCCTGGCGCGGTGCCGCCGGCTGCCCCGGGGCTCTGGGGCCGGCTGCCCCCGCTTGCCGCCTGGGGCAGCCATGCCCTCCCCCAGCGACTCCAGCCGCTCGCTGACCGGCCGCACGTCTCGCAGCCTCACCCACCTCCGCGTCCAGCAGACCTGGCTGCAGATCCTGCTGGTGCTGGGCTTCATCCAAGTGATCCTGGGCGTCCTGATCGTCACCTTCAGCCTGGTGGCGGCCACCATCACGCCCTCCGCCAAGATCCGGCACTCCTGCCCGTCTTGGGCCGGCTTCTCGGTGAGTCTGAGGCTGGGGCAGCATGTGGAGGGGTCTGGCACAGACCTGCTCTGCCGGGTCCGTACGGCTCCCTGGATGCTGAATTTGCTGCCAGTCCCAGGGGAGTGTAGCCCCGCTGCTCTCTCACCCTCTGCCCGTGGCTGCCGCGGTGCATTGTGGGAGAATCCCGGGGGTTCCCCCAGGGTGACCGTGTGAGGGATGGGGACCCCTGGAGCAGTGCAGGGGTCTATCCAAGGTATGCGTTGAGGTGACACACTTCTTGACAAACCCTGAGCAGGTTTGTGCAGCCGCAGGCAGGGAGGGGTGCATGGGGTGCTGCAGTGGCAACAGGGCGGGGGACCAGGCAGCCCTGCCCTGCTCCCGAGCCAAGCGGCAGAATGCTCTGCCTGCTGTGTACATGGGGTGAGGGCAGGACCCTGGCAGGCCTGGGGTCCCCCACAGTGACCCTGTGGCACAGATCCTGGCCGGGGTTCGTTGCCTGACATGGCAGTCCCGCAGTCCCCAGGCTCTCCAGTGCCCTGAATCAGCAGTTTCTCCAGGCTTGCAGCACCGAGGCTGCCCCTATGGCCCTGCTGCTCCTGGGCTGGCTCTGGGCCTGCAGGGCTCTGGGGACTCTTGCCCAAGGGTGGGGGCTGCTCTGGGCCCCACTGCCTGGCAGAGACCCCTCCCCATCCTCACCCCTGGGCTTGTGCGTCTGCAGCTGGCGCTGTCTGGGCTCGTCGGCATCGTCTCCTGGAAGCGGCCGCTCACCCTGGTGGTAGGTGTTAAGGGGGGACCCCTCCGCAGACGGGACTCCAGGCTGGGAAGGGCAGCACGGGGGGACTGAGCGGCCCCACATGCCCCTAGACGTGCAGCCGTGTGCGTTGGCTCCCTGCTCCACAGCCCTGCCCGGCTGGCAGCCCCTCTCCTCCCCATTGCAGATCACCTTCTTCACATTGCTGTCAGTGCTGGGCATCATGCTGAGTCTCGCCGGGTCCATCCTGTCCTGCCAGAATGCGCAGCTGGTGAAGTCCCTGGAGGCCTGCGAGAGGGTGAGGCTGGCTGGGGGCTGCTGCAATGCCCCCGCATGCCCGGGCAGCTGAGCGCAGCTCGTCCCTGGCTGCAGGGCTCTGGGGACATGGGGAGCTGTGGAGCAGGGGTCTGGTGGCAGGACATGCCGGTGGCTCTTGGGGAGAGCACGGTGTCCAGAGGTCCCTCATGGTGTTCCTTGTCCCCAGGAGAGGGACTCATGTGTCTGCTGCCAGGCCCGCTCAGAGCCACTGCCTGCCTCCTGCAGCCAGCAGAGCGAGATGCTGACCATGTTCCCCAACCCCGACTGCCGGAGCATCCGCGTGGCGCTCAAGGTGGGGGACCCAGGGAGGGCCAAGGGCTCCCTGGGGAGCGGCCATGCACCCCACCATGCTCTGCAGGTATCCACAGCTCACCCCGCTCCTCCTCAGGATCTCCTCTTCAGTGTCTGCGGCTTGACCGTCTTCTCCACCATCATCTGCACGCTCTCTGCTGTTGTGTGCTGCATCCAGATCTTCTCCCTCGACATCGTCCATGTGGTGAGTCCCAGCCGTGGCCCAGGAGCAGACAGGGATGGGGAGCAGTGCTCCCAGGCTGGGGGGGGGTTGGGGGCAGGGTGCCAGGGCAGGACCTGACCCCAGCCGGGTACAGATTAAGTCCCAGGACACGCATCCCTCGCTGGATCTCTGGGCAGGAAGTCCTAGCTCTTCCTCCTCTCCCTGCAGCTGGTCCCCCAGCGCTCAAGCTCCGTGACGCTGGAATGCACGTCCCCCCCCGACACCTTTCTGCAGAGCATGATGGACTTCGAGGAGTTCGTGCCCCCAGTACCGCCACCCCCCTACTACCCACCCGAGTACACCTGCAGCTCCGAGACTGATGCGCAGAGGTACCCGGCTGGCAGCGGGGCCACCGTGGTGCAGGAGCGGGGGGCCCGTTTGCCCCCAAGCTGGGGTCGTCTGACCTGATGTGGCTTTTCTGCTCTTGCCTCTGTAGCATCACCTACAACGGGTCCATGGACAGCCCTGTGCCCCTCTACCCAACTGACTTCCCCCCCTCCTACGAGACTGTGATGGGGCTGCGGGGGGACAGCCAGGTGAGGGATGGGGGGCTGTGGGCAGGGGATGGCCAGGCAGGACTGGGCTCCTGCTCTGCCTGTGCCCTGACCGCACTGTCCCACAGGCCACCCTGTTTGACTCGCAGCTGACGGATGGCTCGCACGCCTGCACCTGCGACCGCGTCCCCTCCATCGTGCTCAGCGGAGAAGGTGAGTGTGCCCCATCAGCGCACCTCATGCTGGGAGCATCGGTGGTATGGGAGAGGGGCCGCGGGGTGACCAGCCCTTCCCGGCAGCTCTTCACCCACCCCTGTTCTGGTCCTTGTAGTGTCCATGGACAGCGGGTCCCTGATCATGTCCGAGATCATGGACATCCCCGGGGACAGCAGTCCCTCAGAGGACTCGTGCCTGCTGGAGCTGCAGGGCTCCATGCGCTCCGTGGACTACGTCCTCTTCCGCTCCATCCAGCGCAGCCGCGCGGACTACTGCCTGAGCGTGGACTGCGTGCAGTGCAGCCACCACGTGCGCAGCCCCATGCTGGGCTTGCAGGGGCCCTTTGAGGAGATGCCTCAGCCCCGGGTGCGGGGAGAGCGTTCCTACTCCTGCTCCACGGCAGAGCCTGGCCACGACGGCATCCTGGTGGGGGGAGCTGTCACCCACAGCTGCAATCGCCTGGAGGGGCTGGCCCGCTGCGTCGGTCCCTGCTTCCCCGAGGTGCGGCTTAAGGAGAAGGGCTCGCTGCAGGGGCGCGGGGGAGACTGCCCTGCAGGGCCCGGCACCAGGCGCCTCTGCCACCCACGGCGCAACAGCGAGACCTCCTGCCCCTCATCCCCAGCCCCGGGGCTGAGCCAGCGCCCGCTCGTGAGGTCGCACAGTGACCCCGGCGTCCTGACAGCCGGTGATGCTGGTAGGTGGCAATGGCTGCCGGGACAGGGATTTGCGCGTGGCGGTGTCTGACCAGTGCAGCTGGGATGTGCTGTGGGTTTTGGCTGGGTTTCTCCGTGGCCTGGTGGGATTAGAGCCAGTCTGAGGCGGGCAGTTGTCCCAGGGGAATGGGGGGAGCAGGCGGGGGCTGCTGGGCTGGGAGGGGTGTGCTGGGTGGGTCCTGCTGCCAGTGCCGGTGCTGAGGGGCCGCACAGCGGTGCGGGGTGCTGCCAAAGGCTGAGCACGCTCTTTCTGCTCCCAGCAGATTTCAGGGAAGTACTTTATACCAAAGCACTGGAGGACACCGTGTCTAACTCCTCTGCGGATACAGGTCAGGGCACTGGGACGTGCAGGGATATACAGAGGAGTAGGGAGGGTGGGGGGAGTGCTTCTGCAGCCCTTTGGGGATCGGACTCACCCCATTGGGGCTGGGACAATGGAGACCTGGGGTGGTACCGTTCCCACCAGCTGGGGAGTGGAGATGGGACCCCTGGGTACTGCAGGGACAGGTCCCATCGGGAGCAGTGTCCCGGCATCCGACGGTGGCATCTCCGCAGGGCTGTGCTCTGAGGCCTGCCTGCTCCGCCATTCGCACTGTGACTCCCCCCCGCTGCTCCGGGCTGGCTCAGCGGGGAAGAGCAAGCTGCTGCCCTCCAAGAAGGTGACGCAGCAGCTGTCGAAGACAACAACCCGTTCCCTGGGGGACCTCAAGGTCTGCCGGGGCACCCGTGGGCTGGTGGCCAGGTTCCTGCAGAGACCCAAGCGCAGCCCAGCAGCTGGCATGGAGGTGCCTGGGCACAGCTCCCAGGGGCACAAGCAGGTGAGCTCTGGCAGCCACGGTGCCCCAGGGGACAGGGGCAGCTCCCATTTTCCAGGGAGCCCCATCCATGCCCTCTCTCACCCTCCTGTCCCTACCAGCACCTTCACACTGGCCCTTCTGGGGTCTCTGTTCCCTGCCATGCACCCTGTGGTGCCGGGACCCCAGCTGCAGGCAGGGGCTGCAGGCAGAGCCTCCTTCCCGCGGCACTGTCCTCGCCCAGCCCTTCTTGGCATGGCAGCCCCTTCCCCTTGGCCCCCACCATAGCTGCAAGTGGGAAAATCATGCATGTCGTAATGGCTTTGGCTTTGCCCCTGAGTCATCGCAGCCTGGAGGCAGTCGCTGGGATGTCCCAGCCTCGGCTTACGGGATGCTGGAGACCTTGTGCAGCCCAGGAGGCCCTGACAGGAACGAGCCCATCCTTAATGACAGCATACCCACATGACGCACGCCTCCGCCATCCCTCGCCACCCCCGCTGTCCTGCCCCACGTCCCCGCCTGGCTGCCCCTGGAGCGCGGGCCGTCCTGCGGGGTGGGTGAGCATGGGGTGCTGCAGGCAGGGGTGCCGGCCGCACGGCTGCAGCCTGTCCCCACGGGGTTGCAGGTTCCCTGGAGCGCCTGGCTGGGAGCGGAGCGGCCACATGAAGGCATCCACCTGCAGAGCTGCGGGGACCTGAGCTCCACCTCATCCCTGCGCCGGCTCCTGTCTGCCCGCCGGCTGGAGCGCAGCCGCCCGCGGAGCCTCAGTGGGACCTGCAAGGAAAGCGTCCTCTGATGGCGCACCGCCACCCACAACGCAGCCTCCACGGGGACCCTCCCGGTGCGGAGCAGGGGGGTCCCGCTCTGGGCCAGGGCCCTCAGACATTGCTTGGATGTTGCTGCTGCCCTGGCGAGGCTGGGTCCTACGCTGCCACCCTGGGGCCTATTCTGGGCTCCTTCCCCAGGCGGGGCCAGGGCGAGGGGCTGGTCCCCTGGGGTGCCTGCTGGGGGGCTGAGACGACTGTGCCTGTCCCCTGCCCTGTCTCCTGTGCCGGCTGTGCCTGCCCCTGTGCCAGCCATGCCTCTACCCTGGGATGGCCGTGCCTGTCCCCTGTCCTGACCCCCCCTGTGCCAGCCGTGCCTGTCCCCTGTGCTGGCCATGCCTGCCCCCTGCCCTGTCCCCCGGGATGGCTGTGCCTGTCCGCCACACTGGCCATGCCTTGTCACCTGCGCCGGCCGTGCCTGTCCCCATGCCAGCTGTGCCTGTCCCCTGCCCTGTCCCCCGCGCCAGCTGTGCCTGTCCCCTGTCCCCTGTACAGCCCCTCAGCCCCGTCCCCACACCGGCCGTGCCCGGTCCCTGGTCCCTTGCGCTGGCCGTGCCCGCCCCCTGCCTGGTCCCCCCGCCCGGCTGCGCCCGGGGAC